GGCCTTTTCTTATAATGTTGCTATCCTGCTGGCTGAAGTCCGGCGGTATTTGTTACAGAGTTTCTTAAACTGCCCGCTCAGAGGCCTGCAGCCGCAGGCGGGAACGTTGGTTTCCTCCGTCACTGAGGCAAGCAAGCCTCATGTTAGTTTCAAGCTGCCTGGCTGCCAGCCGCCATCTTGGCTGACAGTTAATTTGCATATCTCGCTGATTAGCCAATGAAAAGGGTAGCGGTCGTACGCCAATTACCATGTTTCTCTTTTGTGTAGATGGCATTTTGCTTCAGTTTAAGCCTTTGGTTTGGGTGAATAACAGTGAAAACATGGGCTTTTTAAAGGGGGATAAGGGCAGCCCATGCCTGGGAGTCCAGCTTGGGTGGGCAGAATGGGGAAACTTGTTCTTCCTTGAGAGGGCGCTGTTTTGAGGATCTTTGCCCTCTTCTAGGGGTTCTGATAACTGTTTGGAAGTCTCAGGGTCCCACTCGTCAAGGGAACTGTTGGGTCCACTCTGGTCCCAATGAGATGACTCTGTGATGAAATTGGCATGAATGAATGTACACACAAACCATGCAGTTACGGGATTTGGGTTTTGAGTATCACATTTTGAAGGATGGCTAAACCTTTTCAAAGTTGAATCTCAAATCCTATTCATAAAACTTAAATATAAATAGAATAGACTCAAATTTTCCTAAATGGCTGGGAAGGGAGTGCTCAGAGATGGAGGTGTCCTGCTGCTGACCTGGAACTCTGCAGGGGCCCTATGAAAAAGACAAGTCTGCCCACTGGAGAAACTCCAGATTGGGTGGGGTAGGACCAAACCCAGAAGAAGTCGACTCAGGGTAATTGTTAAGACCATGGTCTTTGCCCTCATTCAGACCCGAATTCAGAACTTGGAGAATTTACTTAGCCTCTCCTGAGCCTAACAGTCTTCATCTGTGAAATGGAGGGAATGCTATTCCCACCTCCTAGGGGTGTCGTTGAGTATTACATGAGATTATATATGTGGAAAGCTGGCCCAGGCTTGGCCCTCAGCATGCACATAATATCTGGTGCTGTTGTAATTATAGGGAACAATTTAAAAGCCAGTAAAAAAATAAAAACAAAGTAAAAACATACAGCAGCTCCTTCCCAGAGGAAGGAACTGAACAGTCCTGTGGCTCGTGACACAAAGAGGAAAATGGGGCCTTGGCTCTCCTCCAGTCTGTTCTTTCTGTTCCAGTCGAGCTGAGAGAAAATGCAAAGCAGGCTCGAGAGGGGAGCATGATCTCCTGGGCTGTGGCCCCATTTCACTAGTATAGACCTCTCTTCTTAAGCCTGGTCATGCTTTAGCTGATGCAAATGATTCTTTTGGGGCGATGAAAGTTGGCATTGTGATGGTGTTGGGGGATGGGATGCTCCAAATCTGCCCTAGACTTAGAATTTGTCAACAATGCCGGCACCGCATTTGTGGAGCAGAAGCTTTCGATTCTGATCCGTCACTAACTAGCCTGTAGCCAGGTAAATAGCCCATCCCTGAGCCTCAGTCTCAACCTCTGCAGAAGGACACGTATCAGCTACATTCCCCTTTACTAAAGACTCCCTGATTTCTCATTTAGTTTTCCCCCTTTTTCTTGGGGGAAGAGATAAAATTAACAAACTGTGACTGTTGAGCACATTATAAGACTGATGTACTAGCAACATTTCCCAAATAATAAAATATATACTGGTAAAAAGATGTTATGCTTGCAAAATTTTTAAGAGAAGTCTGTGTCTAGAAGCAATGCATATTTGAAGTAAAATTAAAGAAATAGCAATGAGTCTTTCCTTTGAATTTTTCTCAAAGGAGGTAAGCTTTAAGGCTGAGTTGATGGCCCACCATAACACTCCAAATGAGGTAAAAAAGTAGATGTCAGAGGACCTCCTCTTATTTAAGTAGTCTTCTGGTTATGCTAATAGAGCTTGATTATTGGTTGGGTGGAAATTCTTTTGGGTCTGCTTTAACATTTGAATTAATCCCATCATGGGCCAAGGGCTGAAAAACAGAATGGGTTAGAACAAATTGTGGTTTAGGACTCATTGGAGTAGACAAGTGTAGCAGGAGAGTGACTTTTTGATTTGTCTTTGGATTTTTTTTCTGATTCTTGGGTCTTATTCTTTTAGAAAGAACACCAGGCAAACTGCCTGAAATCTGGCTGAATGGAAGTCTTACAACTAGAGAAGTAAAGAAAAAAGTACATTGAGACTGGAGGAGCAGAAGCATGGAACTGACACCCATGCTGTGGTGTTTTAATCAGGAGGGATATCTCTGCTGTGGAGGTCATTGATGAAGAGCAAGGGATTCCAGTCCCACCCCAGACTCCCAGCCCAGGGTTCCAGAGCTGGGAAGAGAATTGCCCATAACTTCAGTTTGTAAAAACCAGCAGGGA